TTTTGTTTCTGTATACTTTGTCGTCTTAGTCACTACAGTAAGAGTTCCCTCTGTTTTAGTAATCAGATGCTCGGAGGGCATTTCATGGGTCAAAAATTCTACGCTTGGTATCTTCACATAGAAACCTCCAGAGGCTTCCTCGATAGAACAAGGAAGAGAGGACTTGCTTCCTTTGGGAGAACTTTGTGGTGTGATATGAAGGATGTCAGTAGAATGGGGACTAAGGGTGACCTTGGGTACTTTGAACCATGTTGTCTCCTCTCTTTCTTCACACTTCATTACAGACACGAATCCAGATGATACTGTGGGTACTGGAGACTCTGATCCCTCCCGTTCTGCCAACATTTCAGTCCTTGCTTTTGAGGATACTATAGTACTAATCTTTCTCACCTCCTCATCCTTCTCTGTTTTCTTCTTAAGACCTGGGAAAGACATTGTGCCTGATATTGTCTTTGACTCCTTGCTCTCTTTGCTTTCTCCTGAGCTCTCCTTCCTGAGTTTCATGCTTGTTTCCATTTCCTCTTCCTCACTTGCATCTTTTGAGTATGGTGAGAAAAACTCCACTTTAGGCAATTTAAGCTTTCCAAACATTGGTTTTTCATCTTTGTCACCATTTAGACTTGGACTTGTTCCATCATCAGACCCACTTGGTGTTACATCAAATGATCCTCTCTGCCCAGACGAAAATGTGACTTTGGGCAATTTAAGCTTACCAGTTTCCACCTCATCTTCGCAATATATTGCTTTCCCCTTTTCATTTGATCGAGACTTGCCAAAACTCGGCTTCATTTTTATCTTTGGCTGTTTGATCTTCACATCTGCACTTGCTTCACCACCTACACAAGCAGAGCTCTCTGTTTGTGGATTCACCATAACAAATACAGCTTTTGTTACTTTTGGCAGACGTGGGCTTTCATACTCTACCTTGGAGTCCATGTTTATAGAGTGACCTTTTCCCTGAGATGATTTGATGTTGGCTTCAGGTGAAATTAAAGAAGGTAGATGAATCCCAAACTTTGGAATTTTGACTTTACCAGTCTGCTTTTTATCTTCATCAGAATTATTAGTGTCAGCTTGGGCAGTCTCAATGTCAAAGTCAAGTTCGGGAATCTTTGGTACTTGTAAATCAGCTTTCAAGTTTGCATCAGTTCCTCCTTTTAGAAATTTAGCATCCATTTTTTCAGACTTGTTTATGTCAGTTTCTAATCCAGAAACTTTTACTTTTGGCATTCCAATATTAAATTTTGTACCTTTAACTTTTGGCCCTTTTATTTTTTCTTTCGTTGCGGGTTCCAGATCAGTATCTTGAAGTTCAGATTTCTTTTTATTCTTTTTTCCGTCTCTTGATAAGCCAAGATCCAGCTCTAGATCCACATTAGGCATCCTCGTCTTTTTACCCTCTTTATGTGAATCCTTAAGGCTTGCATCAGTAGAAGGATCTGACATGTCTGCATCTCTAGACATTCCTATATCTAGTTTTGGGATTTTAACATTTGGCATTGTCAATTTTCCACCCCCTCCTCCAGATTCTCCCTCTTTGGTATCAAACTCTCCAGTTCTACTTTCTGGTAATGATATGTCTACCTGTGGTATCTTAATATCAGGTATTTTACAGTGTCCACCTTTTACTTCCATAGATCCCCTAATCCCAGGGATCATGACTTTACCTTTTCCTACATCAGGTTGAAGTTCTGAAACAGCATCTTTAGATTTTATTTTAGGAAGGGGTATATCAATTTTTGGTGTCTTTAATTTTCCACCTTCTAGTTCTGAATCAAGTGCGTGACTTTCTTCTTTCCTTCCATGAGGTAGTGAAAAATCTATCTTAGGCACTATAATGTCTGGCATTTTTAATTTACTCCCTTTCACTCCAAATTCTATATCAGGATCATCATTTTCCTTTCCATGAGGCAATGATATATCAACACTGGGCACTGACATTTTTGGTATTTTTAGCTTTTCACCTTTAATTTCAGTGTCAGTGTAAGGTGTGTCACGTTTTGCATGTGGTAATGATATTTCCACTTCTGGCATTCTTAATTTACCCTTCCTTCCAACCTCCACCTCATGGTTATCTGTGCCACCCGTTTTTGCATGAGGAAGTGAAATGTCTACTTTAGGGATCTTGACATGGGGAAAATTGACTGTACCCCTACTACCATCAATGTTTAAGTCAGTAGAGTCCACTGGTTCAGGAAGTTTCACCCTAGGCAAGGAAACATCCAAATCAACTTTTGGAACTGATATGTCAATTTTTGGCTTCTTAGGAATTTTTAAACTGCCCTCATAACCTCTGATATCTGCCTCAGATACATCAACCTCAGTTTTAGGAAGCAATACCTCACATTCTGGAATATTTGCTGTTGGAAATGATATCTCAACTGCTGGCATTCTGACCTTTCCTTTGTTATCCACATATCCAGGCATACCCATTTCTACATCTTTGAGCTTTGCTTTAGGAGTAGGTGTCTTGAATTTGGGGAATTTGAGCTTGGATTTGACCTTATCTTCAGGACCCTCTACTCTGAATTCTGGTTTTGTAATTTCTTCAGCACCTGCTTTTATCTTCATTTCAGTGTCAGGACCAATTATTTCAATATCCTTTTTAGATGGTGATGTTCTTTCCATTTCCAAATCTATAGATAAGTCAGGACTCTCCAGTTCTAGTTTGTCACCACTTTTCAATTTTCTGCCAAATTTAGGAAGTGAAATTTTGGGCATTTTTACAGAGACCTCTGGAACATCAAAACTTGCCCCAGATGACGGCCTTCCACCCTCTGCCTTAAGAAGTTCAATGTTTTCTCTATCACTGCCCTTTACCTTGGGAAGAGTAAAGTCCAGGTCAACTTTAGGAGCAGATATGTCAACAGTTGGTATTTTCACACTTGGCAGCTTGATGTTCCCACCAAAAGTTACTTCAGGGACATTTAAATCACTAATTTTGGCTTTGGTCTCTATATCAGAATCATGAGTCAAGTTAAAGTCTATGTCTTTCTTCTCTGACCCAACTTTTAGTTCACGATCTGTTAGTTTCATTTTAGGGACAGAGATATCAACAGTGGGCATGTGAAATCTTAAACCTTTTTTAGTATCATCTCCCAGTTTAAGCCCTCTCTCTGCAGTTCCTGGCAGAGAGATATCTATAGAGGGCATGTGAAACTTTCCACCCTTGATATCAGGACCTTCAATGTCCATTTCACCTCCTGATGGTTTTAATTTAGGCAAGGAAACATCAAATTTAGGCATTTCAAATTTTTTTACTTTTCCTGCATGTCCTTCAACATCTGCATCTCCTCCTGCTTCTCCTCCAGGCAGAGAGATATCAATAGAGGGCATATTAAACTTTCCACCCTTGATATCGGGAACTTGAACATCAACTTCACCTCCTGATGGTTTTATTTTAGGCAAGGAAATATCAAATTTAGGCATTTCAAATTTTCTTCCTTTTCCTGCATGTCCTTCAACATCTACATCTCCTCCTGCTCCTCCTCCTGGCAGAGAGATATCAATAGAGAGCATGTGAAGCTTTCCACCCTTCATATCGGGACCTTCAACATTGATTTCACCTCCCGATGGTTTTAATTTAGGCGAGGAAACATCAAATTTAGGCATTTCAAATTTTCTTCCTTTTCCTGCATGTCTCTCAACATCTACATCTCCTCCTGCTCCTCCCCCTGGCAGAGAGATATCTATAGAGGGCATGTGAAACTTTCCACCCTTGACATCGGGACCTTCAATGTCCATTTCACCTCCCGATGGTTTTAATTTAGGCAAGGAAACATCACATTTAGGCATTTCAAATTTTCTTCCTTTTCCTGCATGTCCTTCAACATCTACATCTCCTCCTGCTCCTCCTCCTGGCAGAGAGATATCTATAGAGGGCATGTGAAACTTTCCACCCTTGATATCGGGACCTTCAACATTGATTTCTCCTGCTGATGGTTTTAATTTAGGCAAGGAAACATCAAATTTAGGCATTTCAAATTTTCTTCCTTTTCCTGCAGGTCCTTCAACATCTACATCTCCTCCAGCTCCTTCTCTAGGCAGAGAGATATCTATAGAGGGCATGTGAAATTTTCCACCCTTCACATCGGGACCTTCAATGTCCATTTCACCTCCCGATGGTTTTAATTTAGGCAAGGAAACATCTAATTTAGGCATTTCAAATTTTCTTCCTTTTCCTGCAAGTCCTTCAACATCTACATCTCCTCCTGCTCCTCCTCCTGCCAGAGAGATATCTATAGAGGGCATGTGAAA